ATACAAACAGGGGATGTTGAGGATACTCTAGGTTATATTATTTGGATTAATAAGTTCTTTCAAACTTCACAAACAGGGGATGTTGAGGATACTCTAGGTTATATTATTTGGATTAGTATGTTCTTTCAAACTATACAAACAGGGGATGTTGAGGATACTCTAGGTTATATTATTTGGATTAGTATGTTCTTTCAAACTTTACAAACAGGGGATGTTGAGGATACCCTAGGTTATATTATTTGGATTAATAAGCTCTTTCAAACTCTACAAACAGAGGATGTTGGTCTATACAGAATGCCTTGAGCATGATACCATGTGCATTCTTCATATATAGGTACATAGTTATTAATGTTTAGTAAACATTTACATAACAGCTATTTTGAAATGTAGATAAAGCCTCAAGATCAGACCCATACAGTACAGAATTGAATAGAACACGTTTTAAATTATATCTGTATGTGTCTCTCACAAATATTTAAACTATCTTAACCTTTTAGAATCATAAAACTAGAACACGGTATCGCTTTCAGATTTCTCTTGAACAATTTAAGGACATCTGCAGATAATTTAAACTAGTGCTTACATAATAAAGAACAGTAGCAATACGATTTCCGGTACCCAGACTCTTGAACGCGTTCGTTTCCTCTTTCTAAAAACAAAAAATGAATTATAGTTCCTGTTAATTAGTCTCGTAATTGAAACATATTACTGTTAACTTACCCTTGCGAAATCGAAATGTGGTTCATAATGACCACCGATACCGTAGTTCACCACTTGCAATTCTTCCGCGGTTTCCACGTTCAAACTCGTCATGTGTTCCACGCGTTTGCTCACCGCTGCCACGTGTTTATGCTCGTGTTCTTGCAGCCATGCACTCTTACTAATTCTATAGTTCGCTATCTCTAAGGCACCAGTTTTGTAATTCTGCACCGTGGCACGTTTGAACTGCAATCAGATTTATGCTTTATGTACAGAGAAAGGGAGAAGTACAGCCTCTGGCTATATAATTAGGTTTTGCATGACTTAAGACAAGCTTACATATGACACAATGTTATGGTTATAAAAGTGAAATTTTCTTATGTGGTCCTAATTCAGTGGCTAGTATCTGTTGCAACAGTAAACACTAATGTTTAAACTATGCATACTCTAAGAAATACAAAATCAAAAAGTTAGAAAGAATCTTAATAAGATAGAACGCAATCAAAATACAATCGAGTAGGTTTTAAAGTAATCTTTGATCCATTAGGTCAAGTTTTCATCTATTTCTTTCTTATCTGATATAACTAAATAAGCGACAGAAATAAAATGGAATAAGAATACGCAGTTTATCGAACAAGAATTCACTTTGAAACAGAGAACCTATAGATTCCGACAGTGTCATAGTACTTTAACGGAAGAAAGAATGATCGTATTCTTCGCGCAAATACAATTTATTACCCTGGGTTGCGCCATTCTTTTGATCGTTTCGATTTCTTCGTCGTATATCACGTTATGATAAATGACAATCCTCGGATCCAGATACGCTTCCTCTTCTTTGAACGGTGCAATCTTTAAAAACGGAATTCCTCGATCGACGTATCGACACTTCAGGTTCTTCTGTATTTCCGGGGGAATTGAAACTTCACCGCGACACAGCATCTCGTACCGTTCTCTTTCTGTCATTTCTTCCCAGGTTTTTACTTTCTCCTCGGTCACCGTAAAGTGCTGGAAAATGGACGAAGACAATTACTTGGAAAATTAATATCTTCTACTTCTTCATACTTTAATAAATTAACGATTCGTTAAAGGAATTTCTGTTCAATTGTTATAGTGATTCTTTTATTATTTTGTGACGTATAAAAGTTCTGCAAAGTCATATAGACTTATGTGCAGACTTTGAAGTAAAGTGAACGCTGAATGTTAACTCTTTGAGGAACACGATGTGAAGGAAGTCACAGGAAATGAATTACATAAACTAAGCAGTTTTATTAAGCTCAGTAGGAGTAACTTTGTTTGGAGATGGGTTAAAGCGTTCCATCATGCATGGAAAACTAACAGAGGATTTTAACCCCAAAGAGTTGACGATAATTCTTATTTGGATAAAATTGGAAAGCGATTCGCAAGGTCGTTTGTATCGAGACCTGAGTTTGTCGTTAATTTAACCGGAGATAATGAGAAAGCCACAAAGCAAACCGATTGTTGAAGGAAATAATTAGGATTATTACTATTTGCATAATAGATCGCGATGATCTATCTTACTTGAGCAGGCACGGCTGTGTCGTCTTGGCCGTCCTCGCCGCGCTTCTTCTTCGACTGATTCGCCTTGCTCTGAATTTCCTTCTGGTAATAAGCACGGTTGCCTAAGGCTCGCTCGTGAGTCGGTACAAGCTCCAAAAGCTCGTTCGTCATGCTTAAAGCCCGCGCCACGTTCCCTGCGTACAATAGAATAAATTTCATTAGTAAATCGAGTTTCTAGCGCAGCAAGAAGGCTACGTGCCGCTATTTACACGGCTCGATATTAAATCTCCTCGAACGAGCGAAACGCTAAATTTCCTATTATTAACGAACCGCTACTTCTGTGCTCTGTTCGACGATTTCTGCCAACGATTGCGCGTCAGCGTTTCGTCGATCTTCGAGGGTCGAACAGAGCCCGAAAGGGAAAGCTCGAAAGGAGAAAGAATGTGCAGGAGAGAAAGAGAAAGAGTCGTACTGCATTCGACTAACTTTTAATGAAGCTTTAAACAAACTAACCGACCGGCCAACTTTCACGTCCGACGACGACAAATTTGATGGCAATTAAATTCCCTTCGAGTTCTTTCGAATACCTTTTCCCGCGGGCTTGTTTGAAATTGATTTCACGGACATTAAATCTATTTCCACCTTCTAACCGAACTTCTTACAATGGGAATACTTACTGACGCTGACGGCACTTGATTCACACTATTATCGAAACTTTTCTTTCCTTTCGGTTCTTTCTTCTGATCTTACCGTTTTAGCGCGATTGCTCGATAATTAAGTCTCATTTAATTTTCAACTAATTCTTTCATTAGGTAATTATACTAAAGGCAAGTTTGGGAAAAGGAGACAATATAGGTTTCGTTCAAAAATATTTTTAATGTAATTATTTATAGAGGGATATATACTTCGCTGATTTTTATGATCTTGGAATATGTTGTCAAGGACATTATTCTGAACAATTTTTGTCTATATATGTAACTATCGTTCTGCTTTAATTTCGGAGATATTTGCAAAAATGTTTTCGATGTGATAATTATTTATAAAAAATTTTGTACTTCACTGATTTGTATGACCTTGAAATATGTTGTCAAGGACATTATTCTGAACAATTTTTGTCTATATATGTAACTATCGTTCTGCTTTAATTTCGGAGATATTTGCAAAAATGTTTTCGATGTGATAATTATTTATAAAAAATTTTGTACTTCACTGATTTGTATGACCTTGAAATATGTTGTCAAGGACATTATTCTGAACAATTTTTGTCTATATATGTAACTATCGTTCTGCTTTAATTTCGGAGATATTTGCAAAAATGTTTTCGATGTGATAATTATTTATAAAAAATTTTGTACTTCACTGATTTGTATGACCTTGAAATATGTTGTCAAGGACATTATTCTGAACAACTTCTCTCTCTACATGTAACTATCGTTTTGCTTTAATTTTGGAGATATTTGCAAAATTGTTTTCGACGTGGTAATTATTTATAAAAGTCTTCATACTTCTCCGATCTTTATGACCTTGAAATATGTTGTCAAGGACATTATTCTGAACAATTTTTGTCTATATATGTAACTATCGTTCTGCTTTAATTTCGGAGATATTTGCAAAATTGTTTTCTACATGTTAATTATTTATAAAAGTCTTCACACTTCTCCGATCATTATGACCTTGAAATATGTTGTCAAGGACATTATTCTGAACAACTTCTCTCTCTACATGTAACTATCGTTTTGCTTTAATTTTGGAGATATTTGCAAAATTGTTTTCGACGTGGTAATTATTTATAAAAGTCTTCATACTTCTCCGATCTTTATGACCTTGAAATATGTTGTCAAGGACATTATTCTGAATAATTTCTCTCTCTACATGCAACCATCGTTCTGCTTTAATTTCGGAGATATTCGCAAAAATGTTTTCGGTGTAGCCATTTTTACAAAAGAACACATACATCGATTTTAATAACCTTGAAACTCAATGTCAATAAGCTAAATAACCCTACCTACTCAAAATACATCAGAATATACCCTGTTAATATATCTCCAGGTCATCCAACTCAGTGAGATACAATTTTAATTTCAATCATACAACACGGTTATAAATCCACATGGTGCTTGTATATTTTATGAGTTTTAACCTCTGAAGGATTTATAATTTAATATCTGAATATGAAAATTTTAACCAAAGTCTGCCTCAAAGTTCATAGCGAGCAAGTAATTACCAGCCCACAGATGTAGCAAAGCTACCTCGTTTAAATATTAAAAGTAAATTTTTATTATCGCATCTCTGTATTGTCGACCACGGTATCACAGTTTCAAACGTTTTTCAATAACACAGATTACCGTAAAAGGAAATCGCTCCGAGCAATTTCTCCTCAACGACGCGATTATAAAACGTTCTGTCGGAAATAAAAAAACATCGACGTAAAATGTATTTTCAAGCTTTGGCGGTATGAGTAAAACCGTGCTGTAAATGATTATTCCTAGTTTTCTGTTTAATCGCTTCAAATGGAGTTCCACAGTGAATTATTTACCTTTGTTCGAAACAATATTATATGTCCGTTATTTTAGCCGCTATCTCGCGCGTAATCGAGTTTCAAAAACGAAAAAACACCGCCGAGGGAAAAAGAAGGAACAAAATCGTGAATAGTCCGTAAAACTCGGTAACCTCGGAGTAACATCACGGACGCGTGAGTAATTTAGTTTCTAATTTATAACGGTTTCGCGACTTTTTACGGGTCCGTGGATTATTTTCTTTTTTTTTTATTTTGCTCTCAGTTTTCTGCTAGCAAATCCGTCGCCCACGGGACAACTGAAAACCGCGCGCAATTGTTATTTTAATTTGTCCAACGAACGCTAGCCAACCAGATTATTCTCGTAAACTCCTGTTCTAAATCACTCTGGCAAAACTGTATAATTGCGAGACAGCTAGAGGGACAAGTAAAACGAATAAATAAGATTAAAACAAACGACCTTCTATTTCCCTTGTCTCGCCGACGAGTCTTTGTCTTAATCCCCTTTGTATAGTTTTTACCCTACAAACTTGTTTGCACGTAGAAATTTTCTGTTCAATTTAATTATGATATTCGAATGCTAATTTTGATAGCACGTACGGATAATCGATGTGTCGTGACATATTACGTGTATCGAGCATCGAATTAATGCACATGATTGAATATTTAATATATCGTTTAAATGTTAACGACGATGTGTGCGGCAATTTGATATGCGATGGTGTACCGATTAAACGTATAATCGTATGTTAAATATATCACTCGTATCTCATTACGCGTATGTTAGATTACACTTGTTTCTTCAATGTCTCATTAAAACCTCTCTTAACGCAATATTCTATTTACGAAAAATTTGCTGTCTTCTTTGTAAATATATTGTAATATACAGGGCGTCTCACAACTATAGGTCCCTGAAGATACGTGACGTGATTCTGAATAAGATTTCCCTTTGCAAAAATGTGATTTGAAGCTTCGTTTTCGAATTATTAAGGAAAAACACGGACCAATCAGAGCGCGAGGATTATTACGCGTTGGACTACTACGCGTCGAATATCCACGCGTTGAATATCCACATGCTAGATTACTAAGCGTTAGATTACCACGCATTAGATTCCTACGCTTAGAATTACCACGCGTTGCATTATTACGCGTTGGATTACTACGCGTAGAATATGCACGCGCTAGATTACTACGCGTTGGATATCCACGCTCTGTATTAGTACGCGTTGGATTACTACGCATTGGATTACTACGCGTAGGATTACCACGCGTTGCATTACTACGCGT